ATCTACAACTTCTATACCTAATATTTACGTATTTTTAACCACTTATTTTGTACTTACTGTTTTTTGTGTTTCGTTAAGTTTTGTTTTTGATATCAAGTGGCAGCAGTCAAAACAGTATTCAAATGAGTTTTTTATACACAAGCTAAAGATTGTTTACTTGTTAGTGTCAGATTCAGTTTAAAGTCCAGTAAAATTATCAAGTAACGTACTCGGCTCTTCCCGTTCCTCAGTTCAAAATTCAAACATCAAGAATTATCTGGATTTTATCGCCAGTCTTGCTCGGTCAGGCCTGGAACCGGTTGCACGGAGGTTGGTCCGCCGCCAGCGTTGCGAGACCCGCCGCTTCCCCTGAAATCCCATACATTTGCCTCTTTTCGTTTTGAAAAATAACCCGGAGTTATGCGCTAAAGTGTCAGCTAACGCTGGTCCCTGTCGGGACATCACGCACTTGCGTGCATGCGGGCGGTGCATCGCTGGGGGGATATGCGTCTGTTTTCAAAATTTTAACGAACATTTCGGCTGCGTGGGACGACCATTGCTTATTGACAAACAGGAATTTCAAGTCGACTCACTCCTCCAAAGTCAACTCCAAAGGTTACATTATTTACTTACAGTTTACTGTCTTCATTTTATAGATTTGACCATCATGGATCGCTTGATAGTAATTGACACATGTGCCTGATCTATGAACTCCTCGCTATTGACTATTGTGGCGCCATAAATCTCGTGCACTAATGAATTGCTATCAGTTGCAACGACGGCCTTTAAGTGCAATTCAATGATGATGCCTTTTCATTTAAAATTGTTCTCTAAGACAAAGACATTTAGAGCAATCATGGTGTCGTGACCTTGAATTCAGTCGTCATGGTCTAATCACCAATGACAATGTGGAAAAGGGCAGTATGCCAAATATCTCACTGATGATAGAAAAGTATGTGTTTTAAACCTCAGTCTAAAAATACAACGTTATGAAGTGACCAGCTTGTCAATAGCTCACATTGATCTATCTATAACATACGACCCGATCATTTAAATCAATTCTGACTGATATTCTGATATAAGTAGGTACTGCACTGTGGACTGCATCGAGGTCAGTCAACAAAACGATTGAAGTGTAAAGTACCGTTGCGTGAAACTAGGCTTTTAAAATAAGATCAATCGTTTAAAAATTTCACAAACACCGATGATGAAAAATGCGGACGCGGCGGCATGTAGTATTAAATTGTGAAGATCCAATATTCGCAACGGAAGACGTGGTAAAATTGAGTTCGTGCGTTATGAATCCAGCAGTTGAACGTAATGTCGTCGGTGTATTCGTGTCTGCATTCTAGCGCTCCGTTATGCTCTCTTATTTGGCTTCCCGGTCTATTTTCGATAGGTCGGCTCGGTGGAACCGCAGCCTAATGGGAACAGCCTGCTCGATTCGTCGCTATGGTAACCAAGGGCCTTGATTCGATCAATTTCTCCGAAATGATTCACGTGTCGATCAGAGGATTAATATGTATTTATACTCCTGCTACCTGCCTGTACCATCCCAAAATCATAATATTTCCGCAGAAATTCTCACGGATGTTATACTTTATTGGAAGTTACTACGTGATTGGCGCCCCCATTGATTTAATAGAACTCCTGGACTTGATGTTTAGAGACACGTGTCCCTCGCACACTTGATCGTGTTTGTCCATGTAATGGCCAGCTCTTCTGATTAGCTTTCAATCGCTCTGAATCCAGTCACGTGGCGGTTGCTGGAAACTCGATCGTCGCCTGCGCACACAGAGACCACTTGCTTATAATGACACTGATTGTTTCTGACTTCGTGCAAAGTGATTTGTATCGCGTTGACGTCAGATACCACTAGACCGTTCCTCGAACGAGGATAGGATAACGATTGATATTCAATCGAATTGTTTGTTGATGAGTTGATGACGATAATACAATAATCACAAATTCAATGCAGAGAGAAAAACGTTCAATGAATTCAAATACTATATCTGCTAAAAATATTCTAGATAGCACTTTTACTATTACTTTAGCAAAAGAAAGAGAAAACTACTTTGCAAAGCCCTCTAAACCTACAACGTATAAAGAAAATACAATTGTATCTTCAATTCTGCTACAGTAAACCCTGCTGAAATAAAACCGTTCTTACGTTTTATCTGTCTGGGCCAAACTAGAATAATCTTATTCGATACTAAAGTGAACTAAACATAAAGATCAAGGCGCCTTTACTTTTATTAGGTAATTTGTACACATACATGTGAATTGTACAGTCACCAGCTTATCAGACTGTACATTTTTGTTGTAAAATCGAACCTATTGGAACTGAAGTAAAGTTCACATGTGTAGATTGAAGTGCACACACAATACTGCTTTACATCTGATTCTGATGGTCATCGGTCGACCTTTATGCTGGCTCATCGAGCACAATAAACAATTCAACGATCGTGTATAGAATCACGTTTTTTACCTTCTTGCCAATGTGAATGGTGATTATGTATTAGTAGAATACATTAGTTTAGTAACTGACTGACCTAGGTCTATAAAATTGAGAAATAATGTGGTCTATGAATTGTTACGTGTTTCTATTGAAAGATTGTTTTGGTCATAAATGCTTTCACTGCCATGCCAGTAATCATAAGTATTCAGCAACATTACAAACATGTGTACCTAGGTATATGATGTGTCTTTCTTTACAAATCTCATTGCCAGTATCTTTAATTAATTTCCTAAAGTATTTAGCCGATCCCAAGCCGATCCATGGATGGAGACTAAACGTAGACTACCACGCAGTACGATTCTTATAGCGTTCGAACTTTGTACGAGACACGCAAGATACTAAAAATGAAGTTACCAATTAAAATTTATTAACACTTCAGCAACGTAGAAACTGCACATTGGAAGGACATTCCTTTGCCAACCGTGATATATTCTTGGGCACAATGGTTCGTGTCAGCTCGGCCTTGGGACACGTTTTAATGCTCGATATGATAAGGTCAAGGCTGCCATGTGACGTACACGTCGATTGTGTTATCGAGGGGAAAACCTTTTGATACCGTGTAGTTGTGATAGTGACGCTGTTGCGGGGTAGCGGAAAATTAATGCCGTTATACTTTCCGCATAGTGTTTTTGGAATGACCAAATTTGGAATTTTCATTTGATTGGTTTACCAATTCCGATTAAAATTCCCGCTTGGATTTGCATGGGAAAATAAGCTACAATCGCTATGAATACTGTAACCCTTAAAGTTTCTTATTTAGTAGATGTCTGTTAGATTTAATTGGATCCCTGTTGCCACTCTCACATGTATGACTTTATGTGGCACCTACTACAATTTGAAAAGTGTTTACGTTGATGTGCTGTCGCCTGTACTAAAAGTTATTTTTATTTTATATTCGTAACTTTCATGTTTCCTTAATAGTCGTTATGAGCAAGCCGCGGCCCTAATTTGGCACTGGCGTCGTAGGCGTAGTGCCAGCCTTATCATGCACGGAACGGTTTTTGCCTATTTCGTGTTCAGCTGGGCTACTCTGAAACGCTGTTCATGTACTTTCGGGTCTATCCGTCACCGTCGCTCGTGTTGGCATATCGCTTTGCGTGAGAGGAACAGCAACACTCGAAACGTTTTTCAGAGTAACCCCGCAGCTCAGTCATCACGAAAGAGGTCATTACCATTACGGCGAGACCGCTTGCCGAAATTATTTGACCGTCCGAAGTTTTATTGTATGTAAATTTTATTATATCCTTTGCTTTATACGCGCAGTGAAAGGCATTATGAAGGTTGCTCAGTTGGTTTAATCAACTTTTTTGTTGCGCGTTTTTTCAGCAACATTTTTGGTTAATAAGTACACCCGACTAGTTTTTTAGATTTGTAACTTTATTGTCTTGAATGCTGTTTGGATTTAGCACTCTATGATCGTTATAATCATTAATGATTTTAAATTCAGCATTTAAATATTGTGTGTGGCATTGCGGAAGGTTTTTTATTTATTTTATTCAAAGTTCAAGGTCTTAACTGATCATTTCTAGTTTTAAAGGCTAATCTAATTCAGCTCTTAATCTACTGCGGTCAAAGTTGACATTTGCTGCAATAACATTACGTCAAATTATCGATAATATGCAACATGTTAAGCTCGACCCATTAAGTAACAATATACAGTCGATGGTATATCAGACTATACATTTTTATTGCAAAATCGCACTTATTACAACTAAATAGGACGCCAAAGAGCTAGCTTGATATACTGTCGTCTTTTTTTTTAATCCACAACGAGGAAGCTCTTGACCTGTATCTCACCTGATGATAAGTGACGATCAGGCCGAAGGTGGAAGCGAGCTTAACCCGGAATCCTCAACCACGGAGGAACTGGCTATCTTACCTCTAACTGCCGGAACACAATAATGCTGTTAACATTGTTGTTATGGCGACAGACTTAGGTAAGATGGTGGTAGCTAGCCAGGTGGACTTAGAACAAGCCCTACCACGCTACCACCAACCAATTTTGGATGTCATGAACTATTTGATGCTGCCTGTACTATTATGTCAAATTCGTGAAGGTAGCGTCGCTCCCGTATATCAAATGTACACCAACTAGATTAGTATAGTGGTTCGTAATTCGCTTAAGTGGTCCTGTTAAGAACGAATGTGCAGGGTGCAATAATGTTAACGAGCTATCCATTAGTTAAATGGGAGTTATTACCCGCATATAACTTTGCCAACTCTACGTGCCCGCTAAATCATGTTCATAGTTTTTAAAGTGCCGCCGTAACCTAATTTATGATTAGGGTATCGTTTGTCTTTGTTATTGGATTTTTTCTCACAACTAGGCAGTTACTCATTTTGGAGATCAATAAAGTCTCCAAAACAGTCCATGATCCATAACATCATCTTTTTAAATTAGATGTTACCCGTAGGTTTTTTACTTATTAAGTTTGAAACTAATTATTAAACATATTTTTATTGATATTCTGTAAAATTAACCATTCGTTTTCTCTATTTCCAGGTAATGAAGACTCTTCAACTATATTGAAAAGAAACTGGGATTTTTATGAGAGGTATTTTTTTATGATACTCAAATCGCTTGTCTTCAAGTTGGCTAACAAACATTGACATGCTAATCACCATAACAAGACGAGCCAGTCATGGCGATGCTAATCTAATATGTTGTACGAAAACACGAACATAATTATGTTTCTAAAGTCGGTGCTTTAAAACACAATTTTAGTTCAAAAAGTGTTGCCTCTTCTTCTAACTTGAGAATGTTAGAGGCCATTTTTAATCCACTTTTTATGAGCCATGCCTACTATTTAAATGCCATATTATCTTCTTAGTTTCTAATTTTTTGTTGTCTTTTGACTATGTTTTATTACTTTAACTCTTAATCTTGGCTTTAATTAAAAATACTTTGTGTTTAACTCGACTTAATTTTCCAAGGGTTAAAATGAACTTTTAATCCTTGTGTAATTTCTCACGAGTGCCGACATCAGCACATCAACACAAACACTGTGGCATCTTATGCAGTTGTAAATATGCGATTTTTCAACAAAAAAAAAATAAAAAATACATATAGTCTCGGATGTGCTGTCGATATGCATTCTCTAGTCCACTCGAGAACCGAGACACTATTATTCCCAGCCTCGGGTCTGTTCCACGTTTTGTTTCTCAGTCCGTATTTTCATCTCTTTCTTGCAACTTTCACATGCACATCCTTACGTCCATTGTGTAAGGTTTTAATTAATCTATTCGCAGAACAACGGGCTATTCTCTTTTGTCCTGCTCACTTTTAATTACGGCGTCGTCCACATATTTCTTCTTCCACTTTCATCTTTCTTACATTTTGGCAACTGAGGGTTTCGGTAAATTAGTAACATTTTGGCGGCTTAGCCAGAAAGTTTGGGACATGAAGTGAATAAAAAATGATTTAATCTACCAAAAGCAGCTCTTAAATTCATAGTTGCAAAAGTGGCTTTAATAATCACAGACAGTGGGTGCTATTTGCAAAACGCTTCATTTTGCACCCTAACTGTGTTTTGTCTTGCCTTCCGGCACGGATAGTCAATATTGTTGTAATTAATGATCCCAATTAAATTCACAACTGAGCACTTTCGGCTCACTTTAGCTGACAAATGGTTGGTGTTCACTATTAATCACTGGGACGTGGTTAGGCTTCGTCCCCTGGGCCTGTCCGCGGTGCTTGAATGTTAAACAATGCCCAAATTGGCTTATGATACTATGAGAAAATACTATCATTAGACTCGGACTGCTGCTTAGACAATATTTTTCGCTAGACAACCGTATTAGAGCAATAGCCAGTGAACGATCTGGCGTTCACAGACTCTTCTTAGTTCATAGCAGATGGTATACGGGTTTAGCTGCTGATATTGGTCTGTTCTGTTAAAAAGTGCTATAATACTGTATTCCTTTTCAAAACGGGTGCAATTATGTAATAATTTGTAATTAGCGAAATTTACATTTTACTGGGTGGTTGAGCAAGCTAAAAATAAATCTTGAAACGTAAAAAGCTTTAAGAATTTTATAGACGTCAATGTCAGTCGTAAGCTTTTGTGAAGACGAGCTAGTATGACATCACGGTCCCCAATACAGTTCTTTAATGAGCAGTACTGACTACGTCTATCGCAGAAAAAACAACTTTAAAGTAAAGCTGTTTAATCTCTCGGCTTTGCGACCCATAACGCTCGTTACAGTCAACAGTTTATCAGCTCGTTATTTTTTGCCTTATGTCCATAGCAATAAGTGTCCACTCGTTTTGTAGTCAGCCGGGCATATTGTGTAACGTATTGCCCAACTGTTTGCCCAATAAGATACTTGTTGGAGGTCATTAATTAATCGGAACATACATAGCCGACGTGGGCGTCCGTCCGTCAACCACTTGGAAAACTAACGAAACTTTGATTTCACAACGCCTAAAATAAAACATTAATTATTTTTGTGCGAAATCGGTTGGTTTTTGTCGAAGAGTTGCATAACAAAAACATAATTAAAGGACACCATGACATTCTAGGTTCATTAATGAGTGGAATATTTATTTGCATGCTGATTTAGATGCAGCTGTCGCGCTCGATTAACTCGCTATCGGTACTTAACTTATGTTTACGAAATCGATCAATCAAAAGTCAAAAAACATGACTTTAAAAAAATTAACGATATCGCTTGAAGTGTCTATCAATCCTGTATTTCATATTTATTAAGTCATTGAAAGCTGAGACAGAGAAAGAAATATTGTTCGAGGCTCACCGCGTGGCGTCCAACCAATGCGGCAAACGTGTTGAAAAAGAGGCTGACAAGGGTGACTTGAGTTTCTTCTGCCACTTCTTTTCAGCACCAGCTCATGTATATGTCACAAAGTAGCGGTAGTAGGACAAGCTATACTAATATTTTGAATTTTTGACTTTAAAAAATAGTGATGTCTCATGCTTTCGAAAATCTGATTGAATAACCGATAGAAGCCGTCGAGGGAAATCGAAGGACGTCTGGAAACGGAGGAATTTAATCAATTATTGGGCGCGTGGGCGTACGTACGGTCGATCTTCGAGCCCTTTCGCGTTCGTTATAACAGTAAAGTAATAACGCGTACACGCCCACACACAATTTCAAAGTTCGTAGTATTACTTAGTATGTTATTAACTTGTAATATTGATTCCAAGCTTCAATAAAATTATTAACTATAGTTGCTGATTCAATTTTGTTGAAGCCATTAATATTTAAGTGTATATTGTTTGCACGTCACGAGTATATTACTGCAGGCAAGGTATTGATACCCAATTCTTGATTAATAATTTATCAATTATGTAGTTGCTAATTTGATACATTGAATTCTAAAGTAGAATATTTTCATTTTATTACTATGGACGTCATTTGGCTGAAACGAACGAACTATTCGCATACAAACAATAATTTCACGATCATACGGATCGTCCACCTCGTCTTTCGTCAATTCAGGAATGTTATTTGACAATGCGTCATAACAGCTGTTCCACCAGGAACATGCTGTGTTTGTTGTTTAGTCGCAAAATAGCACGTAACGTTATTTTAGCAAACATCATTATCGAATGACTCATAATATTGATATAATATTATAACCGTTATTATTTGAAGGTCAAATTTTGTTATAGTTGAGGTCATGTGAAATTGTTGCCCTTATTCAGAACTTAATTTGCCTGCTGCGCCTTGGGCAAGGGTTATATTTGCCCCTTTGCCCTTAATGACTAGTGCCGAATTAAAGTTGACCGGCGAATAAGGGTATTTCTACATCCTGTCGCGCATATGCCGCAGCTGTTGCTGTATAATCGTTTTAAAATTATGCGCTCAACAATTTTAAGATCGAATTGCGCAGAAATATGACAGTCTTTGTTAAAATACAAGTGACGAAACTCAAAACTCTACTTACGTAATAATATGTAAATTTTACTTATTATAGTTTAATCATTAGCAAAACAAGATATTTTTAATTAAAGCGCAATTTAAACTAGACTTCTTATTTTTATATTTTTATCATATCGCAAGCTGTCTATCAAATACGTTTCTCCTTGAACTAGCTAGAAGTTTTTGCTATCCGATAAGCAGTTGATTTAATTTCTTTAATGCAGTTTAAGCAACAGTTTCCAATTTCACACAACGCTGATCGACATTTGAAACGAAATTTTCAATACGTAACGCTCTCGTTATACAATGTAGTTGCGGAATCTCGACGCGGGCGAAACGCTTTAGATATTTAGATAGCCGCTCTCTTGGAATAGATGATTGATGGTGTCGATAAAGAATAAAGCATCGATACCTATTGTTCGTGCATCGCCTGCGAAAATTACCGCCTTTCCACTCGTTGGAAGATTGCTGCGTATATCGGTTTTTGCTAGACATGTAAAACGTGTTTAGATTCTTTGGACTCTCCAGGGTATTCCTCTTTGACCACAACAAAATTTGGTAGCTTTAATCGTTTGATATCAAGGCGATGTGTCATTTTATTATCTGCCCTTGAGGTTTGACTCTGGCGATTTGTTATCGTCACGTGCTCAGGTCATTACTTTTTAATCACATCAAATTGTATAACAGAACTGTTATCATTATTATCATAAACGATAAAAACGGTGAGCGGTCTAGTCTAGCTAGACCAAACGAAACCGGCGCAGATAATATTCAAATTTTGGGTAGTATTTATTGGCTTCGGTGGACGATAAAAATATATTTTAAATCCCGTTTGCCATAACCGAAATGGTAGTATTTCAAACGTAATCACGAAATTGTTCGACGTGTATTGCGTTGAATATAAATTATCGGCGGCTTATAAATAAATTGAATTTCGCCCGGCTGACGCTTGTTTCGTTACAACCTCGGGGAGATTTTTATTTTTCGATAATTCACGCAACAGAAAACATAAAAGAGCCCCTCGGTTTTAATTTGGAACACTGAGAAACGTCCCCGTGTCGGTCGCCATTGCCAAATTCACAATCGCGAAGTAATAGGTATAAGCTTTCTTTTGCAATTACAATTTGGTGGCCCTCGTTTGCTCATAACTTTAAACCCTCCGTTTTCGGGTTGTATGACTTCGTTGCCTCCTGCCTGCGAAACTTCTTTGTGAATTTCTGACATCTTGGCAAATTCCCTTGCTTACTTTTAGAATTGTTTTTAAGTAATAAAATTTTATTTTCAGAAGCACTTTTCGCTTTTGAAACTGCAAGTATTTTTATGTTCGAAACAAACTGGAGTCTACGGCTATATTTTTACTTTTACGGGCTTCAAATAGAAGTTTGGACGTTTTAAATGTACCAAATTATCGTTATGGTTTCGTAACAATTGTTTCTTTTAGTTTTGACGGAATTTAGCAGTAGTGGTTTGTTATTACGTACTCTCACTCACCAATCGTCGAAGTATATCTAATCCAACTAACCATACCGAGTATTCAGTACTTATGTTCAGTGTTCTCGCTACCGAAACGTTCAGATCTTTCATGCAGAGGGGTTTCGAGTCGATTAATCATCGATATACATTAGTCTAAACATCAAACGCCCAGTTTTGAGAATGCTCTGTGTTTACAAAT